CCGTGACGCCAGACTGCGCCTCCGCGTCGTCACGATCCAGGGACGCAGCCCGGCCGCCGCCCGCGCTTTGGCCGCGGCTGATCGAGGCTTGGGGTGGGGGCGCGTTCAGTCACACGCGTGGCGTCACGCCTCGCGCTCAAGACAACACCTAGTGTCACGCCAACCTCTCCCTAGCTCAGTGCGACGTCACACCGACCCTTCCCCTCTGCTGCCTGCACACCCATCCAGCGCCGCTCAGGCTTTTTGAGCTGTACCCCAGCATTCCACGGGAATAACGCCGCTGATGCCATTTTTCCAGTAAAACCCCAGAATTACGATCCCACGTGCAAAAACGGTTACGTGAAGGAAAACCCGGGGCAGTCCTAACACTTGAAGTTCTCATCACCTGTCAAAATAATGCATCAGAGATAAGAATCAGTCTCAGGAAAACAAGCTCAGCAAATTAATTAAGCAAGAATTGGTGCTAAAACAGTCTGGTAAAGACTGCATTGTACCCACGAAAAGATGCTGACGAAAGATAAGGAGCCTTAATTTAGGTTTTTCCCAGGTTTTCAGCCAGTCTAAATATTTGATACGTTTGTAACTATAAAAGCCGTAACAGAACACTTAGAGCGAATGCCACAGAACAGCCCGACCACGGGCAGCCATTCAAGGGTCCCCGCAAACCAAAGTAATTCTGCAAACAGAAGGTCCCAATCCTGCTGCTTCACCCACTGTTGCTTTGTTTCCTACTGCGGGTCTGCTACCCCATCAAATCTTCCCAAACATTTTAAAATTACTTCCCTCGGGAAGCCATCCGTGCCTGCTAAGGATGAGCCCAGATTCCCTTTTCCTGCATGCAACATACACGAATCCTCCCCCACCCCACTGTATCATGCTGTGTCACTTCTGTTCCTCCTTGCTATTTTGGCAGGAATCACTCCAATAATCGCGGCTATGCAGATATTAACCATTTTCTTCCAAAAAAACCAAACCCCACCCCTAAACCCTGCAGTAATACAATGAGAACACAGAATACAAAAAAAGCACAGAAAAGTTCAGAAAAAGGTATCGCACCAATCTAGAAAAGTATAAGAAATTTGAATTCTTTAAACAGTATGAAACCTTCCTTCAGGTTTCAGTTAAAGTATAAAACGCTCCTGATCTCATCCCGCCCCACAGCAATCTGTAGAATAAGCTAATGCTGCAATAGTGCTATATTATTATGACATTAAGTTATTACAGTATGAATGCAAGCTTGATGGTATGTCAGAGAACTGGCAACACGGTTTTTGAATTAACCTGTGCTGTTAGGCAGAAGTTCAGTCCCTCCCTTTTCATTTTTTTAATAAGAAAAAAATACCAGTATCAGTATTTGAGAAAAAAAAAATCAGTATCTCCAATTTTACTCATAACCTAGAGACTATGCTTGTTCAGTTAGCAATAATTCAAAGGCAATGGAACTAGCTTTTTGCATTTAAAGCATTTTCATTTCTAAAACCTAAAAGCTGGAAAGATACCCTTTGACAACATAAATAATCCACGTCGTTTGCTCGAGTCTCGATGGTTTTGTGACTACTGCGAAATTTAGGAAACTTTAGTATCTCAAAGTAGCATTAAAAGCTGTAGGTAAGAGATCCAGGGGTGCCTCTCATTGACATCATGCCTATGTTAAACCGGTTACACAAGCACATTTGTTCTAAGGACATTATTATCCGTCTGCTTAAAGGCTGGGTTCGGTATGTCCACAGAACCCAGGGGGCAGATTGATGATCCCAAACCTGCTTCAAATCAGTCTCCAGAAGAACCAGTCCCAGGACACAAGGGTGGAAAACAAAAAGTATATTTACTACCTGTGGACCCACACAATTACTACCTGTCATTACAGGCCAAGAACATTGGCCAAATCCAAAACACGGCCACACCTGCACAGATAAAAAAAAACTGGAAGGAGCTGCTAAAAACCATATACTTTCCTGTTATGTATGTTTTGTAAAATAAGTACAGTTTTGCTACTGTTGTGGACAAGAGTGTTTCCACAATGGCTATAGCACATCAAGAAAATCACTGTGTTAGCTTCCGAGTTTGTACCTCTTCTGGAAAATTTTCACCACGAACAGATCAGATTTATAAGAAACTGTGTTTTCTTTGTATTTACCTCACTAACCAATTTCACCAAGATCGCCAAATAAATCAAAACAATCTCACTAGCTCAGATGCAATCTATTTCCACAGAAGGAGTTTTTCTGAACCTGTGTGAAAGAAGTGGACAATTGTATTAAATTCTACCAGACAGAGAGTATTTTAAATTTATTATTCAGAAACCTGAACAAGGCTTTGTGTGCACGTTCATGTACTGCTAGCACCCAGAGGACCAGTCAAAACTGGCATCTGTCATTAGTTCAAATAGGATTCAAGCATAAAATGGTTGGTATACTAAACAGTATCAACGAGATTAAAGTAAGATTAAACTAAAGCCTTAGATAAACAGATGTCATAGGCCTGTTACGGACTTCTAGGTCTGCTGCAGGCATAGATATAGTTTCAAAGAATAACGTAAAGGTAATTTAGTACACAGATCTTAAGAGTCAATTGCCTAATGCATAAGTTTAGCAATATTTCAACAGCATCTCTTCTCCGATTGCTTTTACGTACTCCTGCTGCAGCCACACCTGCTCCTTTTAGTCTTCTCACCTTTCTAAAGTTGTGCAAGTCTTGAGCAGCCTGACAACCAGCCTCCCTTTTTCAATCAGTGCTCACTTAAGATGTTTTTTCTGTAGCCTGACATGTGGGCAGAAACATAGACAATGAAATTATAGGACTCACGATTTTTCCTGATGCCAGTATGTGCATTAAAAAAGAAGATCGAAATCTTAAAGCACAGTATATATTTTACTTCAATGAATTTTAATACCCTTCTGCAATCAGTACAATTAATTGTGAGTTAAATAACTGTTTCCTCAGAGCCTTCTTTTCTCATTAAAGTAATCACAAGATTGAAAGGATCAAAATGCTAGTCAAGTTTTAGCAGATACAGTTATGTCAGCGATTGGTAGACTAAGTCAAACTACTATAAAGACAACTCAGTTAAGTTATTAATAACCTATCTTCCTACTAAAAGAATAGTTTTCAAAATAGCATGACCTGAAAATGAAATTAAAACTCCTCTTTCTAAAAATTACTAAGATCCAAAGATTCCAACAAACATCATGGTACTGTCTTCCCAACTTGTTCTGAACAGGAAAACAGAAGTCTACTTGAATGGATACTCTACAAAAAGTTTGGGGTTTATTTATTCATTTATTTAAAAGACCCTTCCTGTGATTGAAATCTTTCACTGACACAAGAGAAGCTGACAGTCCATTAATTAAATCTCACAACAGTATATTAATTCCCTCCATGAATACATACTCTAAGCACAACTGTGCACGATACCTCCCCCCCTTTTTTTCTTCTAAGTATTTTATATTTCAGGATTGTTTGCTATTTTTATTTCAACAACAGATTTTATTTCCAAATATAGATAATTTTCTTCAATGCCCTGGTACACAGGGAAATGTCGCAGGAACATCTTCTGTTTTAAACCTAGCAAACCTAGTTTCAAGTTTCTCATTTGCCCTTTAACTACTCTTTGCTTCTCCTCTGCACTTGAAGATCTAACAATCTAGTAAAAACGATTCTTTGCAACATCTCCCAGTACCTAAGCACAACTACTTAAATTCTTGCTCTAACTACCAATAACAGGCATTCAGAGATTACTTTAAAATCCAAGGTTCCAGCATAATACCTGTCTTTTCAGCCACTCTACCTCAATAAAACTGTGCTCACTTCAATTTTGCTTGTCAGAGTTTTGGCGTGGTGAACAGAATTCTAAGAACTCAAGGCCAGCAAATGCAATTAAAGTATAAATACTGAAAGCTTTGCTAACACATAATGGGTGTTGAAGATCTCTGTAGAAACAGTCAGACTGAAACTACTGGATCAATTAAGCAAAGGCACGTGCCCTGTTTTTACTAATACTTCTGAGAACCTTTAAAATAAAAAAGCTATTTTAATCATTAAGACAAGCTTTAGTTATTTTATCCATTGCTCTCACCTTCAGAAGCTCAACATGTTATACATATAGACTACAAGGAAAAAGGTTTGAATTATCTTTGCTTCATTAAAAAGACCCCAAAATTGTATTTCAATACAGAATTCTCAAACGCTAAATACTTTGAACAGTCATAATGTTTTTATGGCTTTCGCTAAACCAGAGCTCTCAAATTTTATGGGCAGATGCAAAATTTACCACCCGAAAGGTAGCACAAAGAGCTAACTCCAAGACCTTAGCTAACTGGGAAAATTAATGAAGAAACTTTACATTTTCTTTGCCACTCGAATCACGTTAAACTTTCCCCAACCCAATGCTTTCCTACTGCACTAAAAGGCAGGATAGATATTTTGACATTCATATAAGACCAATAAAGAAAGAAATAAGTTGAGATGCAGATGGTGGTTGATAGGCTACAACACAAAATGGCGAGGAGTGATGCAAAGTTAGTTTATCGCAGAAAGGAATAACAATAAGTGCACTGGAAAGCACCTGACTGCAGGATACCCTTTATTCTAACACACTTTTAATAAACAAAAGAGAACTGGTTAGAACTACTGCTGAGGCCTCACTGCTCTTCCTTTGTAAACTCCCCCCTTTCTCGCAAGTCCCTTTTTTTTTTTGTTTTATGATAGAAGCTCTACGTAGAACTTCTAACGATTCAATTGTGTCACCTAAACCTCTGGCAATTCTCCCTCCTTCCACGGGGAAGAATGCACCATTACTATGTTACGGACCTCAGCGTCCAGTTTTGGAGGACATCTTACAGAAATCTATCCTCCCTTCGCACATCTATTGAAGAGGCCTCTTGTCAAGCCAACATTCCACTGAAGACTGGATGTTAGTCTCCAGATTTCACCAACAGTTTGCCTCCTTAACAAGAATCAGCCAGCAGTGCCTATTTTTTGTTGTTGTTTGCTTTGTTATAAACACCTGAATTCTCCTTGTCTCAAGACCTTAGAGTTGCTGCCAGGTGGTTGGGTAGAATCACTAATGTAGAGCCTTAGGTGAGTCAAAAATAAATACTAAAAATTTGAGCAATCATTTCTCCATCCCTTCACCAGTCAGTAGCAGCAAAAACTGGTACAGACCCATCAGTGTTCCACTACGATACTGATTTTCAACGAACCTTAGGTTTTATCAATAAAGCACAGTTCAGTTGCTTTGTTGATGAAAGTGCATTAGAGTTCCTGTTTCTCTCCACCGACCACAGTGGAGTCAGATGCAACAGGAACTTTATTACTTCCAGCAAAAACAGAATCAAAAGCAGCTTCCTGCTCCTCTAGAGTCACAGCAGCAGTGGATCCTCTAGCAGATGTGCTGGGAAAGGCTGGCCGTTGCTCTGTAATCCTTTCCAGGTCCACTGTTTTCCTACCTCTTCTTTTGCCCAGGATTTTGATGTAATTAGCCGGCACAAGTCCTGTTGTTTGGCCATCATAACTAGCCAAAAGCCAACCACGGATCTTGGGTTGTTGTTCTGAAGAAGAAAACGCAAATGCATTAAAGTTACGAAACAATTCAAGGTATATTGCAGTTGAGGCACAAACAGATCAGAAGGTAGGTGGCACAACAGCTCATCATGCAGAGAAAATAACTCTGTGATAAAAGGCAAACACAAATTACTTGGCAAGAGAAATTACTAGGATTTGTGCTGGTGAGGTGAGCCGAAAAGTACTGTGAAGTGCAAGTTGTTTTGAAATCAGTGACACCACCACACTGCAAATGCCCAGGGATCTTCAAGGTGTGAGGAAAAGGTAACCACAAAGCACTCCCTGAGTAAGTTTAGACTGTGTTGTATCTTAGGGAAGCTGAACAAAACTACTCAGTAAATTTTATTACAATGCAAATAATAACTTATAGAAAAAAAAAAATCAGTGTGGATGAAGAGTTTGGTCAAATAAGGTTGTTTGTTTGTTTGTTTTCATTTTCAGACTCTAACAATATGACTTACTTCACACGTGATTAGAAAATAAATACAAAATTAGAAGTTTACCTTTGGGTGCTAATCTTAGCATGTCACCAGCACGGAAAGAAATTTCTTCTTCTGAGAGTGCACTGAAATCATATTCTGCTCTTCCAACTACATGATCATCTTCTCCACTTGCCCAGTTACTAGATACTGTTTCCAAAAAGAAATTAAAAGTTTATATGCTTTGAATTATAGTTTGGTGGGGTTTTTTAAAGGAAAATGAAGAAAACACCTTAACTACCTAGCTAAAACTTTCCCAATAGAGAGCTTACAGAAGTAACAAACAAAGCACGATTTGTTGAGTAAATCCAACCAGTACTCTTCCCTCCACCCCAGTCTGCCACATCTAATAGAAAGGAAACAGAAATAGAAGTGAAACACGATTCTGGAATCACACAAAGCTTACCATGAAACGTCACCCTAACCCAACAACAGGCTGTTACTTGTATCACATGCCTAAAATTCAGTATTATACCCCAGTATCTATTAACTCCTATTACCACAGTATAAGATTAATCACTATACACGTGATAACAAAACAATATATGCTGCACTTCTCTCATGCTGCAGATCATGTTTACCTGTTTCTTCATCACTGTATGTAGAAAGCAGTTTCCAGATCAGATAGGGACCTCCCATTATAACAGCAAAGAACAAGAAAATGGGCCAGGATTTTGCAGAGTTAGCCGCTTTGTCTTCAAGGCCAACACGAGCTACTGTCCCCTCGCTTTCAGCCCACAAATCCTCATTCTCACAGCTCTTCCGCAGACCTAGTAATCGTTGTAGACGCTGGTAGAGATATCTTATAGTTCTCACTAAGGCAAAAGCTGAAAACACCTTTGTGAAGTGTACTTTGAGGCGGGAGAAGTGATTGGCTACATCCAACACAGCTCTGAAACTGTTGTACACAGCAGAAAAGGTAGCATCCATCATCATGCTGACTGAGGCAAATGCATGCACGATACTTTTCAGCCTGGTGAACAAACCTGCTGGGAGGAATATCATCTGTACGAAAGCGGTTATAACCCAAACCACCATATCCGTAACTGTAAGGACTATAGCTTCCATAAAAAGAGGTTCCATGTGAACCATAGCCTGGAGAAAAAGAACTACTATATGCTGGCCTGAAAGCGCTCAGGCTACTGCTTCCCGTTTGCTGTGATGGTCGTGGCAAAATAGGTGGAGGTATTCGTGCAACCGTGGGTTGTCCAGGCCTGGTCAGCAGATTGTCACCCAAGTCGGCAGACCTAAACAAATTCAGACAAGTAAGATCAGTACTCAAAGTAAATGTATATTTTCATTTCTTTGGAGTTCTCAGTTAACTATAGAAATACAATAATGCATTTCAGTAGTGCTAGGATAGGGAACCTGGTAGACAAATGCTCACTATGTTGCACAACGTTTGTGGGAAGTAAAAATTCTAGTCAGGAAATACAGGTCTTTTGGGGGAAAAAAACCCATAATGAGATATTCCGTGTAAATGTGGAACCGCAGCATATCTGACATGTACACATGGAAAAACTTTCTGCCTGTTTATTGTGTTGACTAAGAAAGCATGAAATGCTACATCTTGATCCATCAAATCTGATGCTGTAACACCTAGGTCATTTTTCTCCACACAAAAGCCACTCGTGCACTACCAAGAATACTTATGAACTTTGCAGTCTGAAAGCTTTATTTGCAATACTTGTTCTCACCCCTTCGATACAATGAGCCAATGATACAGCAGGAAGTTTGAGAGCTCCTGTGAATCCACACTTTGAGTAGAGGGTGGTGTGACCTAACTGAGAATCCAAGTAATTACACAACAACATGTTCAAGGGCTTTGGGTGCCTGAATTTCCCCTTCTACCCAAACTATCTAATTACCTTTATGTAGCATGTCAAGGTATTGAATCTATTACTGTTAACTGTTGGCAGAAAGAGGTATTATGAACCAATTACTTGTTTGTAATTTAGTAAAATTTATTCCTCTGTATGCCCATAAGTTTAAGTCATTTTACCTATACCCTTCTTAATAAGACTCTACAAGTACTAGACTGGGATTTGAATTCCTTCAAGCAGCTGTCCAACATTTGCTGTTTCATTAAAAAGTTAATCACACATCATCATCCTAAAAGTCAAATATTTTGGTCATTTCCCATGTTTAATGCCTCATCCCATGACTTCCCACTTCTGTAGTCCATTAAATTCACAGTAAAAAAAACAACCGACAAAACAGAAGAAAAGCCAAGTTTGAATTGCTACAGAGCTGCTTCTTTCTGCACTGCTTTCAATGGGAAACGTGCTTGCTTTACTGTTTCTGTATAGGGTAGGGAACAACTTCCTCTCAGCAAAACTTACAGGTTTCCACAGCGAACAATAATATTTATATCTTATATAAAAGATAACACTGCTTGTTTTTTCCATCATAGACTTTAACTCTCTTAGCAGTTAAAAACAGAAGCAAAAATAAATTATCACAGAAAACAGAGGTACTGTAACTTATTAGGTCACACTACAGCCCCCTCCCCAACAGTCAACTTAGGACTCACTTTAAAGCTGCTTGAATCAATTTGCAATGAGCTAGATAAGCCCACCAAGAAACATTAACATCAAATTTGTTGCTCAGGAAGCTCCAGCTGGCAGTGAAAGCTGAAAAGTTTCTCTTGAGTGTTAAGTCTTGAGCTAACCTTTTGCCCAGTTCCAGCTCTCTCTAATTGTAATCGCTAGCACCAAGTGAAAAACAAGATCGATCTTCAGCCACCGAGCTTTCCTTCATGTCTGATAAAAAGGAAGGGTTTTACACTTTCCGCACAACATCCTTCCACGTGAGCAGGTTGGATTTTCTGGAAAAACTCGAGATTCCCAGGTGAACACGTCAGCGATGGACACGCACATCCATCTTTTCCAGTTCCTGGGGACAACACCACGCTGCTTCTCCATTCCTACAGCGGCACGAACGCTTACACAGCTACAAAATCCCCAGGAAGGGACACCCGCACTTTGCCCGCTCGTGGCAACACGTACGGCTCTACCTTCACATTAAACACGCAGCTTTCTACAGACACGAGTAGGGTTTGAGACCTTTCAGGGGCTTCTCGCTCCCCCTCCCCACGGAGAAGGGGAATCCGCCGGAGACCCCTCCCCACCCGGCACACAACCTCTCAACAAAGCAGGGCAAACGGCCCCAAAGCACCCCAGCTGGTAACCCACCCCCCGGGGCCACCCAGACCGACAAAACCCCTCGAG